CACCACCACTACCAATTCTTAGAAAAAGAGGAAGACCCCCAGTGAGATGGATTGGCACAGTGGCAGCAGAATGGACTCAGGTGTGACGGTAATGATGAGGCTGGCGCAGGACTGGGTCCTGTTTCATTCTGTTGTGCATAAAGTCACTATAAATCATAACTGACTTGATGGCATCTAACCACAACAACAATTCTTAGAAAAAGGTTATTGACGACACATATGAAGACTTTTGCTTAGCTACAGTATTGTTGTTGTTAAGTGCTGTCGAGTCGATTCTGACCCATAGCGACCCTGTATAGGGTTTCCAAGGAGCAGCTTATGAGCTTGAACCCCCAACTTTGAGGTTTAAACTGACTTTGCAGTCCAGCACATTAACCCACCGGGCCACACCAGGACTTCATTAGATTAACCACATGCCTGATTTCTCCCCCAAGGCTTGCTGATTGAGTAAAATGCCTTAGTATCTCTTTGAAGAATCCAGCTTCCAAATTTTACAGATGTGGAAACTGAGATCCAAGAGTCCTGGTCTTTGAAGGGGTAGAACATTAGGATCCCATCACTTCATGAACAGTCCTAGATGAACATACTAGATCCAGAACACTTTACAGACCACCCAATCTACCCCCTGGGTTAATGTAATGTACCTGTGCAAAACCATTGTGTTACTAATGATGTTGACTGTATTTATTTTAATACAGTTCCCCAGGGGGCGGTGCTCCCTGAGTTTCAGCCCAAGACAAGGCATGCTAAGTGGTGAAGAGTTCAGTGATGGGAGAAGTCCATCTGTGGGGACTGCGGGGGAGGTGTCCTACAGGAAGAGTGGGACTTATGCATGAGAAGAGCTGCAAACTGGGCGGTGCACAGCAGACCATGTTCTAGACTCCCTGGGATTCATGGTACCAGGGTGAGTCACAGCTCCAATGGAGAGTCCAGTAAACCCCTCCACTGACATCTGAGATCTGACTCTCATCAGCGCTGCTGTGTGCTCGCAAGAATCCCAGAATCTTTCCTCCTGGATTGGGAAGGAGACAGAGAGGGCATGTCTCCAGTTCACATCCTGTTTCCCTGCAGAGGTGTAGGGGTGAGAGTGATTAACAGGTTCCCCGGGAGGTCCACAGATGGCAGAGAGCCAGGGTCATGAGGTTTGACCCATTAATATGGCACAGTTGCAACAGCAGCAATGGGCTCAAGTGTAACAATTGTGAAGCTGGCATAGGACCAGTCAGTGTTTCGTTCTGTTATGTATTGTCTCTATGAGTTGAAACAGACTCATCAGCACCTAACAACAACAACGTCAATGATTTTTGCTTAATGGGGGCCTCTGGTGAGTTTTGAGCAAGACCTGGTCCCTCTTCTCCACTGCTCCAGCCATCACCCTGACCCGCTAATCCGTTGTTGTCAATTTGATTCTGACTCATCATAGTGAGCCGACAGGGCCTCGTAATGTTTCTGAGGCAGATTACCACGGAAGCAGATTGCCACAGCTTTCTCCCATGGAGTGGCCAGTGTGTTCAGACCATGTAACCTTTGTGCCACCAGGGCTCCTTGCCACTGTGACCAACCACAAAAACCAAACCCACTGTCTTCGAATTGATTCTGACACATAGTGAGACATAGGGTTTCCAAGGCTATAAATCTTTATGGGACCAATGGATGGGTTTGAACTGCCAACCTTGTGGTTAGTAGGCCAGTGACTACCTTACAGCATTATCAGTTCTTCCTGACTCTTTGACCAGGCCCTCCTAATTTCTCACCTCCTAACTGCTCTACCTACCTCCAATCTTGTCCCTTCCTAGCCATACTCCAAAGTAAAAGTCTGATAGTGTCCCCTTTTAAAAGTCCTTCGTGGCTCCCTATTACCTACAAGACAAGGCCCTGATGTGTGTGGCTTTGTGGGACCTGGCCCTGCCTCCTACTTCAGACATGCCCGCTATGGCTAGGTCCTCCACCAGGCCCCTTGGTTTCTTGAGCAGCCGGCTGTTGAATTACTCACTCACTGCCCTTGCCCAGGCCTCTCCTTCCTTCCCACTGCCTTCTCTCTCTGGCAAACTATTAATCCCTCAAGACCCAGTGCAAATTTCTAATTCAGAGGAGCCTTCCCTGGCCCTTTGGACAACACTATTATGCTTTGAATGTGTTTCTCGGTTGAAGCTCCCATGTGTAAGTGTTGACTATGAAATGGCCACTGACCTAAGCCCAGTGCACACATGGCCCTTTGTTAGCCTCACTGCCCCAGATGAGCTGTATTCTCTTATAGCCCCACTGACACATGAGGATGCTGAGGCTCAGAGAAAGGACGTGACTTGCTCAAGACATACCACTGGAGGTGACAGAGTTGGGATTTGAACCTAGATCTGTTTGATTCTACATCTGCATCCTTCGTTCTTCTACTCCCTGGACCTATCTAGACTACCTCAGAAGACTGAGTCAGAGAGGGGGACGAAATAGAGGGGTGGATAACATGGGATCTCTGTGGTGTGGGTGGGATGGGGAAATGGTACAAGGCTGCAATGAGGAGGGGCTGGGTTCCATTTGGAGGTGAGATGATGAAACCCCACAGCTAAGGGTTTCCTTTCTCCCTCCCATTCCAAGTGGCAGCCTCTGGCCACTTGGGGACAGGCCTGTGGGACTCTAGGCAGAGCAGGTGGCATGGTGACAAATACCATGGCAACCTGCCTCCTCCTTGGGGCCTAGAGGAGTGGGAGGGCCTGAGAGAACACAGGGTGTACATGGAGGCTTCTGAGCAGGGATCCTGGAGAGGTGGCTCCCATGGGCCTGGGGAGCTTCTGCCCTCCCACAGGGGACCTCACCTACAAGGTCCTGTCCCAGCAGGGGAAATGCCACTTCCACCTCCATCCCGGATGAGTGGCTATAACTGGCCTCCCAGGAGACTGCTGGCTCCATCCTAGTAAAGATGCCACCCCCTTCCCACCCCGGGGCCAGGGAGGAAGGAAGCGGTGTCAGAAGAGCAGCAGGGAACTCTAGAGGAGGCAGGCGGAAGGTTGCCAGGCAAAGGAGGAGCAGGACCAGCATGGACAAGCCCTCATTGTACCTGGGTCACACATACTGTGAAAGTAAACCAGGCTTCCTGCCTGCCTTCCAGGACCCAGGCCTAGAACTCCACCTGGATTTTCCTGGCTCCTTAGCAACGCTGGTTTGGAAGAGAGAGGTCAACCTTTCTGCTAGGAGCCCTACCTCTGCTGAGTTTCCCAGCACCAGCAGACAGAGGGAACCAGGGTCCCTAGACCTGCCTCTGGGTGGCCTGGGGCCCAGCTGTGATAACACTACCTGCCTTCAAGAATTGGAGCTTGAAGTCATGGGGCAGTGTGCATAGAATCAGTGGTAGGTTGCTCAGCATTCCTACTAAGGTCTGCTGAGAGCAGAACACTGTTGTCGCCCTTCCCCACAGTCCTCTCAGTCTGGTCTCCTGGTGCCTTTGGTTCCAGGCACCCCTGACTGGGTGGTTGGAGCATGATGGGTGGGAAGCGTCACCAAGCTGGGACAAGCAGCTCGGGTGACGGGCACTGTGTCAGCAACTTGTGTGGCCCTGGCATCCAACACCTCTAGGCAGACAATGCTGGCTGTGTCCAGGCCCTCCAGGGGAACAGGCCAGGTTCTGTGTCACAGCCAGGAAGCAGGCCACCTGAGTAGCCGCCTTTGTCCACTCAGGAGGCAGCCCCGCCATTGGCCAGGATGACCAGGTTCCTAAGAGTCCCTGACGTGGAGCGGGGGTGGTTCCCCCAGCCAGGGACTCCAGGGTTTGAGATCCAGCCCCTCTGCAGCTAGGTGACCATGTTCAGATGTGGGCCCTGCCACACATTGCTAGTGTGACTTGGGAGGCCCTGATTCCTCACCTGTAAAACGGACTCATTACAGCACTTGCTCATAGGGCTGTTGGGAAGAATCAGTGGTAAAATGTACGTGATGGACTTGGCATAGATTCTAGTGCCTAGCAGTGCCTTGTGAGTGCTTCTCTCCCAGCATGGGGGGAGGCCCAGTGCACAGTGTCCTTGGCCGTGTCTCCTCTCCTGTAACCTAGGCTACTCTCCTTCGTCCCTGCTCTGAGCATGGGGACTTGCAGATTCATACTTCCAGCCCTCATCTGCTTTGAGCTTGTGTCCCTGAGTCTTTGGTGTAAGGCAGCATTAGCATGCACATCGCATGGGTGGGTGTGGGCATGTCTGTGTGCAGCATGTGTGTAGGGTCTGGTTGCATGTCCTACATCCATGGACAGACCACTTGGGCATGGTCACTGAGATGTGAGCGCAAGTTGACATAGCATAGATGTTGTAACTTTTCGTGTTCGTGTGTATCCATGTCTTTCTACAGTGTTGGTCTACTGGTCTGTCTTGTCTCCCCTGTAGACGGGAAGCCCCAAGCCACACGCCAACGGGCGCCCTGGGAAAATGATGGTCGGCGAGACTAGCCCAGCCTAATTTGGGGTTTCTGGTCCTGCTCCAGGAATCCTCCAGCCTGCATCCCTCACCGAGGAGGGGGGACTGACCAGCACGAGGGATGGGGAACAAGTGTCAGGGACTCAGGAAGAGAGGCCAGACCTGGCTTGTAGCATAGAGGACTTGGTGCTGATCTGATGGGTCACCCTGATGCGTGGTGACCTCGGGCAAGCCCTTTACTCTCTTGGGCGCGCACTGACACATCTGCAGAACATAGGGTTGGACTGATGATTTCTGGCTACTCCTGAGGCGCTCACAATCGGGGAGTTTAAGTGGGTGGCCCAAGCCTTTGCATCAACCCCACCAAATTCTTTAGTTGAGGCAGCTGTGACCACAGCTGGACTGCTTGGTCCTGGGTGTCCTTGCTGAAGGGTGAGAGCAGAAGCCATGCTGGGCAGTAGCCCCAGCGAGAGGATGACGTGGCCCAGCCCGGCCCTCCCCACGGCCCCCCCAACCCGCCCTTTCTCCTCAGCCCCTGGGACATCACCCATTCCACCTCTCACGAGGACCCGCAGCCTCATGGCCATGTCCTTGACAGGGAGCAGACGGACCACCACTGGATCCCGCAGGTGAGTCTCCACCTACCCCGAGTCTTGGTCTTGGGAAGAGGGGCTGGAAGGAGGGAAAGCCACTATCCCCACTCTGCTACAGATGTGCCTTGTGCCTTTGAACATGTTGCTGCCATGGTTTTCTCCATCTTTAAAATGGGCTGGATACCACTCACCTTCTTCTAAAGCTGTTTAAAGACACAGATGTCTTAGTGGATGTGGAAATTCTCTGAGGACTTAACCATTGCCTACTTCAAACACTGTCCTCACAACCTGGTTTTGATTCTTACCATTACTGGAGGAAAACCATGCTGTCTCCCCCCAGTCCCCCTTTCTGCCTCATTGCTTGTGCAGCACTCTCCCCAAGCCCCGTCACCCCTGCCGCTGACTTGCTTTGTGCATGGGGACCCCTAGTAGAAGTTGAGGAATTGTGGTAAAGGCATATAGGAGTCCCTCCCTAGGCCCCCTTCTTGATCCTGGGGAGCCGGGAGGGAAAGCGGCTCCTGGGTTTCCATCTTGATTGGCGCTGTCTGTTCTGTCATCCTGTCTGTGCTCCTCGCTGCTTCTCTCTCCTGCGATGACCCCGAAGTGGGGGCTCCCTGGGCCACAGCGGCCTGGCGGTGTTTGCCCAGTGTCCGCAGCTGCCCACCAGCCAGAACGAGCACCTGCCTCTTCTTCCTGCCTCCAGGCGCACCTCTCCGCCCGTGAGCGTGCGGGACGCCTATGGTGCCTCTTCCCTCAGCAGCAGCAGCAACTCTGGGTCTTGCAAGGGCAGTGACAGCAGCCCCACACCCAGGTAATCAGCCCACGTCTGGGCGAGGTCACAACACACCTGGGTATGAGAGGAAGGTGGTCCTATCCCGCCTCTCCACCAGACTCCTCATCAGAACTTCTCTCCCCACTGCCAGTCCCTTCAGTAGTGTACCACAGGCAAATGGGGGTTTCCTCAGTAAGCATTCACCAGCTGCCACAAGTGTTTTAAACTGTCTCCTCCTTGCCCACTTCAGCAAATGGGCCTCCTCAGGCTCTGTCTTTCCATAAAACACCAGTGCCCCTCCTTTGACCAGGGACTCCACAGCCTAAAGCAACAGAGTTGGGTGACACCAAGACCCTCGGGGCCTCTCATCAGACAAAAACATGCCCAGATTTTTAAGCCAAGATCCAAAGTGGTTTCTTTAGGAATGGAACAACCAGGTGGCAGTGAGTCAAGACAGCTGGGGCGTGACCTGAAGATGGGGTTGGGGTGACCTCCTCACTTGTGAGGCTCAAAGGCCAAAGCCCTAGCCCCCTCTCCTCCTCTGGCAGTGACCATCCTCTGGGGGAGTTCCTTCTCCTTTGCACTGGGAGGACCCTGATGTGCTACACCCCCACTGCACTACCATGTCCATGTTGCCCTGTGCTGGGGGCCGGGGCGGGGGGGGGGACTGTGACTGCTGGGGGCAGTGTCTGCCCAGCTTGTGTCAACCCAAGAGGGGGATCAATCCTCAGAGCCAGCAGGTGTTCATGTGTGTGCTCATGCAGGGAGAGCGGTCATGTGTTTTCCTGGAGCATGTGTGAACATGTGCAGATAGAAAGGGTCTGCATGCCTTTGTGCTAGTGTGTGCAGGGACTGGTAGCTTAGTGTGTGGGTGCTAATGCGGGTTGCAGTGCACGTGGAATGTGTGGCCGGCCTGTACGTGTGTACACATATATGGGCCTGCAGGGGCTAATGGAGGGGAAATCCATGTACTCAGGTGTGCACTCTGAGTTACTATGCAGACACATAGTGTCTTCTCTCCCTGGCCTCCACCCTGGGCTTGAGGGCCCCGCCCTCCTAACCCTGTGAGGTGTTTCTTCCTCCACAACAGGGGTGGGGAGGTTCTTCTCTGCACGCAGACCCAGTCTGCCTAGGGAGGACTACCAGGTGGGGTAGTATTCCTCCCAGTCCTGCCTCCAGCCCCAAACTCCTTCTCTGGTTGAGAGGCTGGAAGCCTGGGCTCTGCGATGTGCCACTCATATCTGTGGAACTCTAGGCAAGAGTTCGCCTCAATGACGCATGTTCTCTGTATGGAGCTCTGAGCCCCCACTCACACTGTGGGTCTTCACCCATCATCCAAGACCCTGTTCAAATGTAACCTCTTTCCTATAACCTGACTGAAACCCACCTTACAAAATGGCTGGCTGTTCTCATGCTCTGTGGGGAAGGCCTGATTTGGTCAGCCTGGGGCTCCTGACCTCTTTCTCCCTCCCCACTGACTGGTGTCCTCTTACAGACGCTCCATGAAGTACACACTATGCAGCGACAACCATGGCATCAAGCCTCCGACCCCAGAGCAGTATCTGACTCCACTGCAGCAGAAGGAGGTGTGCATCCGGCACCTGAAGGCCCGGCTGAAGGACACACAGGACCGGCTCCAGGATCGGTGAGAGGGACACCACTGACAGTCCACTGCCTCCTACACTCTGAGCAACCAGGACCCTGAACCATCTCAGGGGAAGGAATGGCCAGGGACTTCCCTGAATGCACTCCTTCCTCTCCTTCACAGCAAAGCCCCATTCCCAGAGCTCCCATGCACCCGTGTCCTCTCCACAACTGCTCTCCAGCTGCTGTGTGTGACCAGGCAGGAGCAGGTCGTCCCATGAGATCCTATTTCACCTCCCAGCAGGCAGTGCTTTCCCAGTTTAGCCCATTGTGCCTTCAAGTCAGTTCTGACTCATAACAATCCTGTATAGGGTTTCTGAGGAGTTGCTGGTGGGTTTGAACTGCTGACCTCACAGTTATCCTACAGAGCTACACCAGGACTCCATCCCCTTTAAGTCTCTTTGTGTACCCTAGTTCCTTTCTACCTAGCAAGCTGAGCACAGGGGAGATGTGACCATTCATCCCTTCTAATGGGTGAGTCACTGGGGGCTCTTGGCCCACTTGAGCAGATCCCAAATGTCTTCCTCCCCCTCTCCTTCCTTCTTATGCGTGACATAAGATCATGTGAAGCATTTTACTGAGCTTCTAACTGGCCCAGGGGTCTCCCAAGAGACCAGGTGTTACCACCTGAGCTCTCACTCTCAAGACCAGGAGGGGTGCTCAATCCTCCCAGCCCCATATTCTAGACTGATGGCTTCATCTTTGTGATTGAAGCTTCAAGGCTGCTTCTGCTGTCTTCCATCATCTTAGCCATCCCTCCTTGGACTGTGGGATTCAAGCATAAGACCTGTGGTGAGCTGGACAAGGCTCTGTGCGAGGTACTGCAAGTCGGGGCCAGCCACCATGGCTGTCTCTTTGTCTCCCCACTAGCCAGTCTGGTTTAGATTTGTGGTGGTTTTGAACAGAGGTGGGCGCTGGTAGCATTCTCTGGGCCTTGTCTATAGAGCGGGGGTTTCTGTTACTGTCTCCAGCCATCTTCCCAGTGATGTCCTGTGTCTGCTTGGCCAGTTTCACTAGTGTCTTCACACCACCCCCCACCCCCACCCAGCCTCCTTTCTAAGATTGGCCTCATGGTCCAGAGCTGGCCATCCCCCATGCATAGTTTGGACAGGGTGCCCTGCTGTGACTCTAAACTCCCTGTCCACTCCTCTTACTCCAGCTACCTGTGGCAGCTCTTTACCTGCTAGAACTGAATTGAGTCTTGCCATACTCCTCATACTTTCTAGAGACTTAGTGTGATATCTGTGATTCCTAGGAGCCTGCTTTCTCCCATTTTGTCCACTGTGTCTCCACTCCTAGAAGTACCCTTTCTCCATCTTGCCTCCTTGGCAAGCTCCTCCTCCAAGACTCAGTTTAAGTGTAACCTCTTTCCTGTAACTTTCCACATTCTTCTTTCTTCCGCCAACAGACTGTATATTGGGTGCATCATAGTCCTTTTTCCCTAACCTCCCTTATCCCCAACACCAAGTTCAGAGCCAGTTAAAAGATACACTCAAGTCAATAGAAGCAGTTTTAGCTCTATTACTGATAAAGTGAGTGTACCTTAGGCACGGCCACCACTCAGCTGTCAGTGGAGGCTTACACAGTGTATGACGCTGAGCAGGTTTCAATGGAGTTTCCAGGCTAGGAAGAAAGACTTGGCAATCTACTTCCAAAACTCAGCCAGTGAAAACGCTATGGATCTCAACAGTCCAATCCAATTGTGTATAGGGTTCTCATGACTTGGAAACTGATGAGCTGGTACACTCATCAAGTTGGAACACTGCTATAGCTATATTGGAGGATGTTACCAAATGTACTTGTTGCCCTGCAACGTACTCATGTATAGATGCTGGGCTGGGGTGGACTGATGTAGGAAGCCATAGCTCCCTGGGGTGGGGAACCAGCCCAGCTGATCATACTAAGCATCGCAAGTTCTTTGTTCCAAATTCTTTATCCCAGAGTGAGAAGTAGGAAGAAAGATCAAGAAGGTTGCCTAGAGTGAGCCCCCACCCTAAGTCAAGAGGAGGCGTGAAGAAGAAGCGCTCCTCCCATCATGCACGGCACCATCTCTATTGGCATGCCTGTTTGAGCCATTCTCCGCACCTCTGATTCGTTGCTGCCATCCTGCTGCTATTGTCAAGTTGTTACCGTTGACTGGTCCATCCGCTTCCAGTTGATGCCACTGACTGATGCTTTTGACCATTGCAGTTCCTCCCTTCAGCATATTGTGTAATGAGATTCTTGGGTCCATTTCCTGAATCGGATTTCAGATCTGACTTTGAAAAGTGCAGGTGATGCTTGATCTGGGACAGTTACTCTGCCGGGCTCATGAACCGCATGGTTGACTGTCATTTCTAGATTTATTTGCATGAATATAAGGTTTGGACTGAGAAGCCACATAGAGTTAGAGGCTGTTTAGCCAGAGCAGGATCTTAAGTCTCAGGAACAATGTTCTTTAAAGAAGGATTTGTTAGGTGCCATCAAGTTAGTTCCAACTCAGGAACACAACACTCTTCTGTCTCAGGAACAGAACAAAACACTGTCTGGTCCTGTGTCATCCGCACAACTGTTGTCATGCGTGAGCCCATTGTTGCTACTGCTCTATCAGTCCATCTTGTTGGGTGTCTTCCTCTTTTTTGCTGACCCTCCACTTTTCCAAGCATAATGTCCTTCCTGACAATATGTCCAAAGAATGAGAGATGAAGTCTCGCCATCCTGGCTTCTAAAGAGCAATCTGGCTGTATACTTCTTACAGCACAGATCTGTTTGTTTTTCTGGCTGTCCACGGTACTTTCAATATTCTTCACCAATGCCATAAATAAGATGCATGAATTCCTTTACAGTCTTCCTTATTCATTGTCCAACTTTCACATGCATATGAAGTGAGTGAAAATACCATGGCTTGAGTCAAGCACACTTTAGTCCTCAAATTTATATCTTTGCTTTTTAACACTTGAAAGAGCTCTTTTGCAGCAGATTTGCCTAATGCAATACATTGAGTTCTTGACTGCTTCCATGAGTGTTGATTGTGGATTCAAGCAAAATGAAGTCTTTGACAACTTCTATCATTTGTCCATTTATCATGATGTTATCTATTGGTCCAGGTGTGAGGATTTTTTTTTTATTTATTTACATTGAGGCGCAAGCCATACTGACGACTGTATTATTTGATCTTCATCAGTAGGTATTTTAAGTCCTTACTTACTTTCAGCAAGCAAGATTGCATCATCTGCATATTGTGGTTCTTAATGAGTCTTCCTCCAATCCTGAAGCCATCTTCTTGATATAATCCAGTTTCTCAGATTTTTTTGTTCATCATACAGATTGAATAAGTCTACTGCTCCTTTCTCCCGACTTTCAGTGAATCACTGTTGAATCCCAACCAATTTACCCCTAGGTTTGATTAAATGTTTTTCATACTCTCTTCCCTCCCCTCCAGCCTCCAGATTCACCTACAACTAGTTTCTGGACAAGAGTCTTCTCACTATTTTGCTTATCTGGCACTCACCTCTTCTCTCAGGAGTAGCTCTGTGTCTTTCTCATCTATCTTTTCAGTCTTTCTTCTTTACAGTAGACATGATGAGAAGAATCTTCTAGCATGGATGAAAGAGTGTCACCATGCTCACTTCAATCTCCTGTGATTCACCCACTAGTCCTCGTCCCACTGCTTGCAGGAAGATGTTAAATGATCACCTCCCCCTACATGTACACACATTGAAGGCCACAAGTGCCCTCTCTCTCATGAAAGCAAGGCAGTCTACCATCTTCTCCCCAAGGACCTGGACCAAGTATCACTCCATGTAATCATCTTTTCACAACCTATGTTAGTAGGAGCCACAGTCCTTTCTATAGAGCTGAGATTTTCTCTTTAGATGGTGTTGTTTCACATTAAGGTTTTAAAACAGAGATGGATTAGGTTTCCATCCCAGGAGCATGTGTACATTGCGAATACTCTCTAGGTGATGGATCTCGATGTCATCAAAAGTCAGCTGCATTTCAGATTCTAGCGGTGGGATGTTGTCTCCTGTTGACAGTGCTTCTCCCTCCCAGGAGGAAACCTCCCTGTCATTACCCCAGGTCCCTCACTCATCTCTCCCCACGGAAGAGGAGGCACCTGATTGGTGCCTGGGGGAGAAGGATGGAGGATGGAGCCCTTCCTTTTGTTTCCTGTTGCTGAGCTGCAGCAGCACAGGGCCCCCTGACCTTGGTGACACTGTCCCCTCCTAGCTCTGTCCCCAGACCTCTCAGTGAGCATGTGTGTATGTTTGCAGGGACACGGAGATTGACGATCTAAAGACGCAGTTGTCACGCATGCAGGAGGACTGGATTGAGGAAGAATGCCACCGGGTGGAGGCCCAGCTGGCCCTGAAAGAGGCCCGCAAGGAGATCAAGCAGCTCAAGCAGGTCATCGACACCGTCAAGAACAACCTCATTGATAAGGACAAGGGGCTACAGAAGTACTTTGTGGACATCAATATCCAGAACAAGAAACTGGAGACACTGCTGCACAGTATGGAGGTGGCCCAGGATGGCACAGCCAAGGAGGATGGCACTGTGGAGTCGGCTGGAGGGTCACCTGCCCGCTCCCTCACCCGCAGCTCCACCTATACCAAGCTGAGTGACCCAGCCGTCTGCAGTGACCGCCCTCCTGGCAATCCCCCCAGTGCCTCCACTGAGGATGGGGCTGACAGTGGCTTTGCAGTGGCTGATGACACATTGAGCCGGACAGATGCACTGGAGGCCAGCAGCCTGCTGTCATCAGGGGTGGACTGTGGTCCTGAGGAAGCCTCACTGCACAGCTCCTTCAGCCTGGGCCCCCACTTCCCTGCGAGCAGCACCTATGAGAAGCTGCTGTGTGGCACGGAGGCCGGCGTGCAAGCCAGCTGCATGCAGGAGCGTGCCATCCAGACAGACTTTATGCAGTACCAACCCGACCTGGACACCATCCTGGAGAAAGTGACCAGTGCCCAGGCCTGCGGGACAGTCCCTGAGTCGGGGAACCCAGAGCTGGACCACTGCCCACCAGGGCCCAGGGACCCCAACTCGGCAGTGGTGGTGACGGTGGGAAATGAGCTCGAGGCCCCAGAGCCCATCACCTGCGGGCCTGCCCCACACCAGCCTGGAACCAACCCCAACCCCGGCCTGTCGGTGAGCGTAGCATGTCCTGTGGAGGAGGACGAAGAAGTAGCAGCTGACAAGGAGCCCAAGAGCTACTGGAGCCGCCACTACATTGTGGATCTGCTAGCTGTGGTAGTACCGGCAGTGCCCACGGTGGCCTGGCTGTGCCGCTCCCAGCGGCGCCAGGGCCAGCCCATCTACAACATCAGTTCCCTGCTCCGAGGCTGCTGCACTGTGGCCTTGCATTCCATCCGCAGGATCAGCTGCCGCTCACTGAGCCAACCGGGGCCCAGCGGGGCAGGCGGCGGTTCCCAGCTCTGAGGAGCCCCTGTCGCAGCCGGTGGCTTCTGTGGCCTGACCACTGATTGTCAGGGTGCCATTCTCCCAAGAAGGCATCCCTGGGTGTCATCTTATTTATTTAGTTTGGGGCTTAGAACTAATTTTTCAGGATGTGGACCAAGTGTCAAGGGGCTGGGAGTAGAGTTTGGGCAAAAGATTCCCAACACTTAGGCAGGAGGAAAGGGGAGGGAGACCACAAGGCAGGGGACACCAGCTGCTGATAGAGGACATGGTGAGCCCCCAGCCTGGCAACCCCTCCAGATGAACAGACCTGCTCAGGAAGTCTCTGACTGTATTTATCTGGGGAGGTTGAGCCCCCCCGCCTGTCCTATTCTCACTCACTCCATGCCTTCTCTCCAAGCCACCCTTGCCCTCAGCCAGGCTTCCCGGCCCAATGTGCAGGCAGCTCCCAGTAAGGACTGGACCTGCTGGGCAGGAATTTCTAGCCCACTTGCCTCCCCCAGGCTACTTCCAACTTTGGGATTCAGAGACACTGTCAAGGCCATGGACAGCGTGGGTCTGTGTCTGTCTGTTCACCCCAGGTCATCCACATAACCTATTCCTCCTGACGTTTCTGGGTGTGTCCAGTAGACGGCAGTCAGAACAGCAGTTTCCATATGGAGGATCCTTTGGCACAAGGAAAGGAGATGGCCCAATGCTCTGGGTTTCTCTATTTGCTGTGGAAGAGGTAGGGCGCAACGTTTTTGAAAAGCCAGAAGATTGAGCCCCGGGCGCCTGCCTGAGCTCTGATTTGCACTATGTTCACTTTGGGGCTTGCGTTTCCCCCATCCCAGTGAGGTGGTTGATTGCTTTCTGGGTGACAGCCTCTGTGCCTCTGAGGGTTCCTGGCAGGATGACTCAGAAGAAGGGCTGCTGGAGCCATGATGCCCATCCAGGCCACAGCAGGGTGCCCTAAGATGTGCTCCCCTGGAGGAGGGGACAAGCAGTTGGGAGCCCTGCAGCCCTGCCTGGCTCCCAGCTCAAGTCTTGGTCAGCCTGGGAAGCTTCCCAGTTACCACCTCCTACTCAAGGTCCACAACTAGGTCCTTCAGCAAAGCTGCTAGCATTCGAAGTTCATTACCACTATAAAAAAAACAAATCCACTCCTTTTCACCCTTAGGGGTCACACCCATCTAGTCTTCCCACCCACATTCAGAGGTTGTGACCCCACATTAGGGAGGGGTGGTGGGACCCTGTGTCTTACTCACCCCTCTGGCTTAGGGGTCACTCTGGTTTACAGCCAAGGTTGCTTGCCCTGACCCCCGCTGCTTCACTGGGCACTGTCTGACTTGGGCCTGCCCTCGCCCTCTCTGGTTCCACACACAGGAGCACCTGCATGCACTGGAATCCGCCATCGGAGCAGAGCGCCCCACCTGCCACGTGCGCTTTGTGCCTCCAAAGCCCCGTCTCCATCAGGGCCTCAGACCAGCCATCCTTTGCGGCACCCCCCACCCCAGCCTCTGCAATGCCTGGGGCTGACTGGGGCAGCTCCATAGGGATACTGGGGTCATGACCTGGAGGGGTCAGGGGACAAAACCCAATCCAAAGCTGAGCCAGGACTGGCGGGGACCCAGCCTGCTGTGCTGTGAGCTCCTGGAGCTGCATAGTGTCTCATTAGAAATATTCAAAGCTTTGCTGAGAAAATAAATGTATGAATATATTTGCAACATAAAATTGATATATTTTTCACCCCTGGAATTTAGTCAAGCTCCATAGCTACTCGCTTTTGTCTGCGTCTTGCTGTCCCATGGCCTTTCCTGTGTGTCTTGTGTTTTTGTGGACATGTTCAGGGCTGGGGCTGTTGTCCACTCTGGCCCTGGACTGAAGTAGCCACTCATGAAGGTCTGGGCGTGGGCATGGGGAGGGGAGCAGGGGCCCTTAGCCCACAGTGTTGAGGGTCCTTCTCTTTGGTGGTGTCTGTTGAGGCCTTCAGGAGGATTTGCTTCACTGTCGTCGTATGGGGATGTGACTCACAGCCCCAACCCTGGAACAGACCTGGGTCCACATTGACTGGGTGTCCCAGGCCAAGCCTCCACCCCACATGCTTGTGTGTGTGCCCTGATCTGCATCTATGCAAAGAGGGCCTGGGCTCTGGGCAGGTGGCAGAGGCTGGCCTGCTAGCTCAGGTTACGAGTCCTAACTATGCAAGAGTGCTGTGCTGGGGCTGGAATAGGGCTCACCCTCCAAAGCTTCCCTTTCCTTCCAGCTTCTTACCTCCTCCCTTCCTGCCCTGGTTCCTGGAACAGAAATCTTTGGGGCCTCCCCTGCTCATCTCAGTCTCCAGCCAGAGCTGAAGAAGGGACCTGATGCTGGTTCCTTGGGGCCAAGTGGCCAGAAGTGACTTCTCCTTAGTTTGATGACAGGGGGCCAGAGTGGCCTAGGCTCAGGTGACAATGGGCATCTAGGGCTGGCCATATGCAGAGAACTTGCCTCCAGAAGAAGGTATCCCAAGTATCTCCCAGGGGTAACTTTAGCTTTCCACCCAACACCCTTCCCAACTGTCAGAAGAACAGGGGCATCCGACAGGCAGCACCTTGAGGAGGGACAGGGCAGATGGCAAGGTCTGGGGCAAAGGCCTACTGAGCTGCCTCTGCCCAGTGGACCCCTCTGGCCTAGGGGACAACACAAAACAGTGCACTCTTACATTAACCCATCCCTTGACAGAGAATCCATGGGATCTGGAGGGGGGAGGGGCCTTCACTCTTGTCTCCTTTGTCCTTTCGTTCAGACACTTATACTTGTAGCAGACAGTTCTGAATTAAAGCATGAAAACACAGCAAGACCTTTGGTCTCTCTTTCTAGTGTCTTTTTTTCTGATGTGGGAACACCGGGCAGAGATCTTTGCCACGCATCTGAGTAGATCTGCACCTTCCACACTCATTGCTCCCTCTCTCCCCTCATCCGAGTCATGCCAGGGATCTAGACCTGCCTCCCCTCAACCCACTGAGCTTCAGACATGCTAGGCACGTCAGGAACATCAGCCCTTATCCCTGCACTACCCTCCCAAGTTGTTCTTGTTCCCATTTGCAGGCGCAAACATGGACCAAGGTCAAGATTGGCCCCACATTTTATGGTTAGCACCCTGGACTCTGAATCCAGAAACAGACCATGAGTACTCAATAGGGGGATGCCCCAGAGCTGTGCTCCCTTGCCAGCCCTGCTGCCTCCACAAACCCCAAACTGTCCCCACACCTGTAGTACCATGTGCAGGGTGGCTCCTCACCGTGGCAGAGCCATGTTACTGCTTTCGGCAGCAACTCATAGAAAGGACTTTGTCTCCCCGTTAGTAGAGAGAATCAGCCTTGGCATGTCCTCAAACCAAGGATGACCTTTAAAAGAAAAGGTTTTACTAAAAATCAAATCTTTATTCCAGAGATAGTCAAGAGTGTTTGTGAGAAAGATCAAGTAAAAGGCAAAAGGTGGGATTCTCACAAAGAATGTATTTGTTCTCTCAAAACATGTAACTGTTGTCTTGGTAGAAGCAAACACCCTGAAAGAGGCCCAGTTGTAACTGTAAGAAGTGTTTAGCTGGCCCTGAGTGTGCCCAGCATTTCAATGAGCACAGAGAATCTGCCTCCCTGGTGGGCCCTGCCCCAGCCTTAACTCAGTTAAGAGTTTTGAGGCTCCAGGGAGGCCAGCGAGTATGAATGTCAGATCCACAGGATCCACGTCCCCTCTGCCTAGAACATCCCCTCCCCCAGGCAGGGGGCCAGCAGCAACCTGCCTTCCCAGGACACTGCCCTTTCCTGCAGGACAGCCTTAGACTTCTATCTGGAATGGAGTGGTCCATGGTGTGGTAGAGCAGGGTCAGAGACAACCTAGACATGGAAACTGCCTGGATATGGTCAAAACTCACAATGTCTTCTCCCCTGAAGAATGTGTCTCCCGGTGTGGGCTTTCACCGTAAATCCTGAGACTTTCAAATCACCCAAGGCCACCAATCCCCTTGGGGGAGTCCAGGGCAGGCTGGGCCTGTGAGAGACAGTCTCTCTCTGTGTTCCTGGGCAGAGGTGGGGAAGGCACAGGGTGGAGGGGGTAGGGAGGGCGCAATCTTACTTTTGACCATGTGTTCGTAGATCACAGTTGGGTGATGACGTTTCCAGCCATGGCCAGGATCTCCGTGGTCTCTTGTACTGGAAAGAAGGCAAATGTGTGCTCATGCTAGGGGCACTTCTGGTCAGGAGTCAGTGTGTCCACTGCAAGAGGATATTGACTGAGGAAACAAGCAAGATGGCGGATCAGGTAGACGTATACCAGAGAGCTCTGCCAACAACAACACAGAATACCTGACCAAGCGGGTTCAGGGGCTGGTCCCAGAACTCTGAACCACATATAAAGGAATACTTAGAAGGTTGGAAGGCTCACAGCTGGGG